CATGAATCTTGCTTGATCAAGATACCCACCAAAATCTTAGGACATCCTTTTCATTCATCACACCCTCTTTATTTACAGCCAACGACAATGGTCAACAACTCTGAGCCACGTTGCAATGCCTGTAAAGATGCAATCCTTGGGAAAGCCTATCGTTGTCAAAAGTGTGAATTCCACCTGCATGTTCTTTGTTCGAGACTCCAGCCCTGCCTAAAACATGAGATTCATGAGCACAGTCTTACTTCTTTTGAAAAGAATCTCTCTGAGGTTACTTACCAATGTAACATTTGTTATTGGAATATCGGCGCAGCATATTGGGAGTACTGGGTGAAAAATTTTTATCGTTGTGTGCAATGCGATATTAATTTTCATTTCAGTTGTCTTAAGATTCCAACATATATCACACATGAATATCATAGACATGATCTTATGCTCGTCACTCCATTTGAAGAAGATGATTCTGGAGAATATTATTGTGATATATGTGAGGAAGAAAGAAATGCAAAACATCATATATATTATTGTAAGGACTGCACATTTATTTCTCATATTCAATGCGCACTAAAAAAGGTAAAGACACATACACTCTCTTTCAAGGGTAAATTTTTACTTTTCTACTTTTGTTTTGGTAATATACTTAGGATATAATGTTTTCCTTGAGCTGTTTTTGTCGAAAAGTTTTATACATAGAAAATATTGACCATGATTCGACCTTTGGCTAGGTGGACAACGAAGCTTTGATACCCAAACTGATTAAGCAAGAGGAAACAGAGAAGGCCAATGCAGAATCTCAAAATCAAGATCTTGAGGTATGTGAAAGAACTAACAAAATCTAATCACTTGAAGGACTACAAACAAAACTGATTAAATTCTGTAACAGGTGGCAAAGTCCACTCCCTTATTCTCTTAATTTCCTTAATTTCGTTTCCTTACTCTAAAATGATTGAATAAAATAACACATGCTAAGTGTAGACTAGAAAGGTTAAGATCTGAATTTTGTTATTATTATTTTTTGGTTCACTTTAACTCTGTTATGCAAGAGAACTTTTCCTTTACATAAAAAAAAAAAAAATTATGTTCACTCTGTCCTTTCTTCTTGTTTTCAGAGGCAAATCCAACATTTTACTCATCGACATTCCCTCAGCTACTATGAGGTAATTGAAAAGAATGAAGATGTTTTCTGCAAGGCCTGCGATTTCAAAATTTACGGCCGAGCATATGGCTGTGAAAGTTGCGAATACTACTTACACATTCAATGCGCCAAATTGTCCTATGAAGTGCTGCATCCTCTTCACCCCAAGCATCCTCTCCAGCTCTCTAATGATAGTCAACCAGCTTTCTGTAATGAATGTGGAGACTTTTCGTTTGGGTTTAGCTACGTCTGCTACTTCTGTGATTTCAAGCTCGATGTGAAATGCGTTAATTTAACACAGCCTAACAACGAGGGTCAAAGGCTAAAAGAAATGGCCAGAGAGTCAAAGTTGTGCCCTCTCGAACAAGATCACGAGCTTTCTTTCTTCAATGTTAGGCACAAAGCCCAACGAGGCTATTTGTGCAGCATTTGCTTCCTGCCACTTTCAGGTTTAACTTATCACTGCTCTACTTGTTCTTATGTTGTTCATGAATCTTGTCTTGGATTTCCACTGGAGATAGCACTCCCACCTCTTTCGGAACACCCCCTGCACCCAACTCTCAATAAAGGCCGTTACACATGCTGTCTTGCCTGTCGTTGTCCATTCAGTTGGGAAGACATTGTCTATAAATGTGAGCAATTTAGACACATCAGCCTCCATATTTTATGTGCCAATTCCATGAGGCAAGCCATACGATCCAAGTCTCACCAGCATCCTCTTTTCTATTTTGGAACAGAATGCCAAAAACTCTTTGCCAATATGCTCAACTACGAATTTTTTAGACAACATTTTCTGTTCAAATGCAATAAATGCGACAAATCTTTTGGTGGTGTTCCTTTCTATCGCTGTGTGTTGTGTTGCATCAATTTTCATTTGGAATGTGTTCCTATCCCACATTTCATTAAATCTAAATATCATATCCACCCCTTCACCCTTAGACATTGTTTCCTAGAAGATGATTCAGGAAAATATTTTTGTGATGTTTGTGAAGAAGAAAGACATCCAAAAAATCACGTCTACGTTTGTGAAGAATGTCAAGGATTATTTGTCGCACATATCGAATGCGTGGTTGACAATATGGTATGTTTTGTCCATGATCTCCTATATATAATTTGTCTGTTTCATAAGCATATAAAAACTTGCATGGACATATCACATAACCACATGCATGTAATCTCTAGGCAACCATACATTTTTACTTCTTGAGTAGACGTATACTTTAGATGAGTATAGTCACTAAATGTTGCGATTTCTTTACTTGCAAAGTTATAACAATAAAATTAATGAAGTCTGACAGCAATTTCATGCTTTATCAGGTGGAAGAAATTGCACCAGCAGAAGATCCATCCTCAAATTTGGTACCAGACCTTGAGAACACCTTTGTTCAGGCTGAGAGGGAAGTGTCCACAGATGAATCAAAAGAAGAGCAACAAGGCAACAACGTAAGCCCAGCAATGAAGGAAAGAGTAGCAGAGTGATTAAGAAAAGTAGTTCTGCCTTTGCTTTGCCAGATGAAGCGTATAATTCCATCAAGGATACTATTATCACTGGAAGAAAAGTTCATGTATATTGTTTGTTGCATACTTGAAGGAAAATAAGTTCTTATACAATCTACTTTAATATACAAAAATTTGCAAATTATTTCCTTCCAAAAGTTTATGAAGAATGTGCTTTCATTGTCAGAACGTGGCATTATATGTTTGCTTTATTTGGTAGAAGAAACTGTGTTAGCAATAGAAGCAAACTCCCTTAAATTTTGAGTTGGATCTTGAGGAGAACAAATGCAAGGCAGAGAACAAAGCATCAACAGGGAAATGGAGTGGAAGAAAAGCAAAAGAACTGAGACAAGTGTAGATACTTGATTTGGATTAATACTTATTTTTTAAAAAATTACTTTATAATATAATATTGTATAGAGAACAACCAAAACGTGCGAAGCACTAATTTATGCAGAATAACTAGAACAAGTGAAGTGCTACTTCACACAGAATAACTAGAACAAGTGAAACGCTATTTTACATAGAACAATTAGAAAAAGCATAACACTACTTTATATAGAACAACTAATACAAGTTAAACAGTTACTTCGCACAAAATAACCACTCCACATGGATGACAGTGAAAGCAACCCAGAATAAGTGGTAAGGTTCATAAGTTATTTTCATCTTGGAATGTTTTAGAGAGTTTGGTTTAGTAACTCAGATATGAAGGTAGTTAAGAGGTCTTTCTATCTTTTCTTGAAACACAAGTGTTCCACTCTCCTACCTTGTTCTTGTATACCGGTTCACATACACCTTTTTCTCTTGTACCTATTTCCATACAACTTCTTTTCTTGAACCTATTCACATATAGCTTCTTCTTTTATACCTTTTCATATATATGTCTTCTTTATTATCTTTAACTTGAGAACAAGTCTTATTACACCCAATTATAGTAACAGTTACTCATGTTAGAGTTATTTATAATAATGTCATTCATTAGACACATTAAAACCTATTCTTGAGTAATTGTCACTTTTAATACTATATATAGAGCCTTACAATTTATTTAGAGGGGCTCTTTCCCCCCTTCGGAGCTAACAGAGGATCCTCTAGAGCTTCTCTCTATAAATTCTTTCTCTAATTCCCTTCTACTTAACTTTTCTCAAATTCATCATGCTTTGGTTAAAGATTTTATCCAAGTTAATCAAGAATTGAGAACAAGTGAGATACATCCCCTCATATCACTTGAGGTGATGAAGCCTCTCTTGACTACTCATTCACCTTCGTATGCTTTATGGTATACTCAAAAACACCTGTTTAGGCATTTGATTGCTTCCAAACCCGTAAAGGTGAAATCAAAGTATGTTATTCTTTATATAAGATGACTTAGTGTCTCAAGTCTAAGGACTAGTTGCATGACTATCACATGAGAATATTTTTCATAGATACTTGAATGAAATACCAAATGGAGTTCTTATAGCAAGTAATGTTTAGTGAACTTGTTCTTTAACAAGCACCTATATGTTATCCTCAAGTATCCCATATACTTCAATCTATAAGATCAAAGGCTTACTTCTCAAGTAAAGAGACTTAACATGTGACAGTCTTTGAGCATTGTCAATGCCTTGTCTTGACAATACAATGACCAAAAATAATTTTAGGAACATTGGTTTGATGAATAGTGATCTCATAATTATAACAACTTTACAATTCTCTTGCAAGGCCTTTATGTTCCATGGGCTTCATCCAATTAGTACTCAATAACTTTTTATTATTGCATTAACATGAAGGAAAACCCTATCACATATAATTATGCGATTAAATATACATTAAATGACAATATATATTCCTTGATCAATCTAATTGGCGTAAAGGCATATACCAACATTCCATACCCAACACCTCCTTACTTTTTCCACTAGTAACTTCGATGGTGTCGATTTCATTTGCCACAAATGTTTCTCTCTTTCTCGAGGCCACAGATATCGTTGCATTAATTGTAATCTCAAAGTTGATGTCTCATGCGTTGCTTCCACCAATGATGCGACACTGGAGAAATTAGAGAGCAAAAGATATGATGAGAGTTCTTTTGAATTTCCAAATTTTGTCCCCGACCATCGCTTGATGGGTACTTCAACTATAGAAAAGTAGAAAAAAAACACTACAATTGTAGTTAGTGTGAGAAGCATCTGTCAGGAATGACTTACAGTTGTTTATTATTTTTATGTTCCAAACAGTTCTGCATCCATGAATCTTGCATCATTAAGAAACCCACCAAAATCTTAGGACCTCCTTTTTATTTGCCACCCTTTCTTTATATACAGCCAACAACAAAGGTCAACAACTCCAATCCATGTTGCTATGCCTGTAAAGATGAAATCATTGGGGATTCTATTGTTGTAAAAAGTGTGAATTCAGCCTCCATGTTCTTTGTTCTAGACTCCAACCCTGCCTAAACCATGAGATCCATGAGCACAGTCTTACTTATTTTCAAATAGAATGTTATGGTGTTACTTACCAACATAAGATTTGCGGTGAGCATATCAATGATGAACACAACGGCAACTTTTTTTATTGTTGCATGTAATGTGATTTAAATTTTCATTTTAGATGTCTTGGGATTCTATCATCCATCACCCATGAATATCATAGATATAATCTTATACTAGTCACTCTATTTGAAGAAGATGATTCTGAAGAATATTATTGTGATATATGCAAGGAATAAAGAAATGAAAATCATCCTATATATTGTTGTAAGGAATGCACATTTATTTCTCACATTTAATGCGCACTAAATAAGGTAATAAGGACACATGTAATCTCTTTCAAGAGTAAATTTACTGCAGGAAAGTTTTATACATAGAAAAAATTGACCAGAATTCCATCTTTGGCTAGGTGGGCAGCGAAGGTTTGATACCAAAACTGAGGGAGCAAAAGGAAACAGGGAAAGGCAATGCAGAATCTCAAAGTCAAAATCTTGAGGTATGTGAAAGAACTAACAAATCAAATCACTTGAAGCACTACAAACAAAAATCATAAAATTCTTTATCAGATGGCAAAGTCCACTCCATTATTCTCTAAATTTCCTTAATTTTGTTTCCTTACTATAAAATGATTGAGCAAAATAACACATGTCAAGATCTGAATTTTGTTATTATTATTTTTTGGTTGACCTTACGTACTTTTCTATGCACAAGAATTTTTCCTTTAAATAGTACAATTGCTTAAGTTTGGCTAGCATAGCAGTACATAATGCTTAAACAAAATAAGACATTAATCATAACTACTCATAATTTTTAATAGTCCTTTTTTTGTCATTTTTCTATTATTTTTATTACTTTTTCCTGTCATTTATGAATACTCAATTACAAAGTTAGTACTTAAAGGTAGTAAAAATAAAAATAATTATATTCATTCTATCCTTTCTTGTTTGCAGAAGCAAATTGAACATTTTACTCATGGCCATCCCCTAAGCTACTATGAGATAATTGAAAAGAATGAAGATGTTCTCTGCAAGGCTTGCACTTTTGAAATTTATGGCCAAGCCTATGGCTGTGAAAGTTGCAAATACTACTTACACAATCCATGCGTCAAATTGTCCTATGAAGTGTTACATCCTCTTCACCCCCAGTATCCTCTCTATCTCTTTGAGAGTGGGGGATTTTTTTGTCGTGAATGTAGAGGCATGTCGGTTGGGTTTGGCTACGCCTACTACTTGTGTGTTTTCGGGCTTGATGTGAAATGTTTTACTTCAACCGAGCCTAACAACGAGGCTCAAAGGCTAAAAGAGATGGCCAGAAAGTTAAAGTTGTGCCCTTTCCAACAAGATCACAAACTTTTCTTCTTCCATTTTACTCAAGTCAAAAAATACTCTCGATGCAACCTTTGCTTCCTACCAATATCAGGTTTAATTTCTAGATGCTTTGTCTGTGAATATACTCTTCATGAATCTTGTCTTGGATTTCCACCGGAGATGGCACTCCGATTTCATCTGGAACACCCCCTGCACCCAATTTTAAATCGAGACATATGCTATCTTGCATGCCGTGCTTTATTCCATATGAATGTCATCATCTTCAATTGTAGGCAATATGGAGACATCAACCTCCATCTTTCATGTGCCAATTCCCTGTGGCGAGCCTTAGAATCCAAGTCTGACCCTCATCCTCTCTTCTATTTGGGTACAGAATTCCAAAAACTCTTCGCCAATATGTCCGACAAATTCTTTGGACAAGATATTCATTTCAAATGTAATAAATGCAACAAATCTTTTAGTGATGTGCCCTTCTATCGTTGCTTGTTGTGTCAAATCAATTTTCATTTGAAATGTGTCCCTATCCCCCAATTCATTAAATCTAAATGTCATATCCACCCTTTTACCCTTAGAGATTATTTCATAGAAGATGATTTAGGAAAATATTTTTGTGATATTTGTGAAGAAGAAAAACATCCAAAAGATCATGTCTACTTTTGCGAAAAATATCAGGGATTATTTGTAGCTCACATCGAATGCGTGCTTCACAATATGATATGATCTCCTGTATATAATTTGCCTGTATCATAAGCGTATAAAAACTTGCATGTAATCTCTAGACAACCATACAGTTTATTTTTTGAATAGACATATACTATAGATGAGTCTAGTCATTTAACTTTGCGATTTCTTTTCTACAAAAGTATAACGATAAAATTAATGAAGTCTGACAGCAAAATTCATGCTTCATCAGGTGGAAGAAATTGTACCAGTAGAAGAGCCACTCGCAAATTTGGTATCACACCTTGTGAACACCTCTATCCAGGCTAAGAGTGAAGCCTCCACAGATGAATCAATAGAAGAGCAGCAAAGCGACGATGAAAATCCAGCAATGAAGGAATGAATAGAAGAGCAGCGGAGTCATTAAGAAAATTAGTTCTGCCTTTGCTTTGCTAGATGAAGCATATGATTCCATCACGGAAACTATTATCACTTGAAGGAAAGTGCATGTATATTGCTTGCATACTTTGAAGGAAAATATTGTTTCATCTCATGTTAGCCTTACTACATGGTGCTTCATCATTTTCAGTATTATGGCCAAATTTAGGAATGAAAAGCTGCTGCAACTTTATCAGCACCTTGGGTTAGCTATTGTATTTTGTAAAGAATTTTCAAACCTTGCTTATTAATGAAACTTGTAATTGGAAGGATGTTGCCAAAGAAAAACAAGAACCGGTATAAACATCTTCTAGGCATGAGCAGACCTTTGTGGTATGATACCTTTCTCCTTCAAAAGTCATATTTCTTAGATAACAGCAATTGAAACTCCTTTCTGCTTTTTCTCAGTAGAGGAATTGAAGCCTTTGTGCACCTAAGAGTAACAAAGTTAGATACATTGTAAATGGTCCTGTTCTCCAGAAGTCTAGCGTCAAGACCTTCCAGCAAAAATAAATGAAACCATAATAGCTAAAGCCAGGTATAAAGATATCAAGTTCAGACTCCAATAAGTTCTAAGAGAATCTACTTTAAATTATAATTCCCTCAATTAAAGCTTAAAAGGCACCATGCAAGCATATTTGCTGAATAAATTCTCCATCTTTGCTGGAATGTATCTCCAAGTAACTAACATAAGTAGGTTGACAATGAACAATTGATTAATGGAACTGATCTAAATCTTAACTGTAACATCTTGAAAGGTCATGTTGTCAGCTTTACCATTGTGACTAAATAAGAAGTATCAAGAGGACTTCATCAATAAACAAGATAAGCATAACTAGCCACTTTTAAAACAAGTGTCACCTGGATCAAACCTGGTAAGCAATGACATTCATGATGCTGATTGTGACCATGATTAAAAATATAACTGTTAAGAAATCTGTACAACGGAGGAAAATAAAAATGACATTGCAGTTATCCTAAACGGCTTAATCCATTGAATCATATCTTCAAAGCCATCGCAGACCAGAGATAGCATGAACCTTAACTTTCCTATAACTGATGTCCCCCTAGGCCCTATCTAGGATCAGATGGTCAGCTGAGATCCTTTCCTTTTTAAAGCAAACAATTCATAAAAGCTCCAATCTTACCTATCTATGCATTTTTTATTTTTTGTTATTAGCAAAAACACACAATTTACTCAAAGGTAATGGAACATGGAACTGAACTATATCATTACAATAATCAACAGAAACAAACAAAAGAGAAGTTAATTTCTGACAAAGAGAAAAAATAGATAACACCAAAAGAAACCTTGAAAGATTATAGGGTTTTGGAACACTACAAAAAAATAAGCTTTTTTTAATAAAATTTTTTGTTGGAGAAAGTTAAAATTATGTTAGAAATGTCTTTTTTCAACAGAAAATTTCATAAAAAAAAGTGCATAATCTATCGGTTGTATCATATCATTTTCATTGAAAATTTTTAATGGAATTTTGTCGAAAATTTTTAATAGAATTTTCTATTAGAGAAGTATTTTCATTAGAATTCCATTGAAAATTTCCGACAAAATTTTCATTGGAAATATATTTTCAACGAAATTTATGTTGGAAATTTCCAACATAAATTTTCATAGAAAAGGATTTTTCATGGAATTCCATTGAAAATTTCTCACAAAATTTCCATAGGAAATTCATTTTCAATGAAAAATTCTATGAAAAATTTCCAACAGAATTTTTTATCGATGATGCATTTTCAACAAAAATTCCGTTGTTCAGTCAGTAATACCTTTCCAACAGAAATTACCAATTAAAATTTTGGTAATAAATTATCAATTGGCATCTATAATTTACATTCAAATTTTATAAGAAGAACTCGCATTAAAAACTAAAATTCAAAGTCAAGTTCATACAATTAAAAATCATCATAAATACATAATATCTAAAAATATCAAACAAATGTAAATGTAAAACTAAATATGCTATCATATACTATACTAAAAAAGTATCCAAGTCTAACAATGGAAAAGATGTTATTACATTGTTGTGTGTTGCACTAAGTACAACTGTAACAGGCACCCAAGTATCAAATCCATACAGGTGAGTGCGTATAGTCTCCATTCCTCCAATATCTTCAATTTAAGAATATGAATCGAATTTTGATCGAGAGGATGAATCTTCACCATACTTCTTTGATAATGTAAAATTATCTTTGCAAAAACAGTAGCTAAAATAGCAAGTGACCTTTGAAGCTTAATTTCAAGCTCACTTGCTGTCTTAGCTACTGTTGCCATGCATGCATTCTTTGATAACTCTTTTCTCAAATCTTTGAAAAGAGCTTTGCTCTTCCACAAGAGAAAGTGCTGCGGGAAAGGAAAAAGACTTTATGGGCATTTGATGTGTTGCATTGAACTAGTTTATATTGTTTCATCTAATTTTATGATATTACAAACTTTGTACAAACTTGTTAAATTCAATTTTGTTTAATTGAGAAGCAACAAGATGCTTCTCACAAAAAGCTTAAGGGAGGAAATGTCGATTCTAAAATTACAACCTTTATTCTCTTAAAAGCAATAAGTAGAGCAAGGTCTTAGCTCTTAATGGGTTTAGGTAGTTTTAGGATATTAAGGGACAGGTTTGAGTAATATTTTTAAATTTTATTCGAGTAATTATAGAGTTTGAGTATATTATAATTTAATAGGGTAGTACTTGAAAAATAACTATTATTTTACCCGTTGACATCTTGAGCAAAGTTAAATATATGTTTTAAAATAATTTTGTTTTTTTTTTTAAAAAAAGGAAAAGGTGATTTGATCTTGAGAATGCGTGATGCCCGTGGTGGTATATTTGCTCTTCCAATGTGAGGAAAATGCTTTTCTTGTTTCTCCTATTTCTTTTTTAGTTCCAAATTTGTGGCAGTACCATAATCACATTTTATCTTTAATGATGAGTATAGTTTTCTTTGACCCTTTTCTTTTTCTGAAAGATAGAGAACAGTATTCCATAAAAAAAAGGATAAGTCTTAATTACTTATTTTAAGACAAGAAAGATTAGCAAAGTTTTTAAAGCATTATTTGCTTTCATATTTTCACCATAGTTAAATAATTTCCTCTTTTAAATAGAGAAAAACATCTTTAAGAAAATAGAAAAAAAATATGATGTTGGTTTTATAGCTCATTTAGGTAATTAACTCGAAGTTGTCATCAATATATCAAAATGAGAACGTGTAATGTTTTATCAAAACATTAAAAGATAATCATAATATATGCCTTTCGTGTATCCATCTAGTGAGTAAAATAACCGTCATATCAATCAATAGTTTGATTGAGCAAAAATTAAAGAACAAAAATAGTGGAAATTCTTGTCGTAGAATGCCAAGGAATGACTTAATAATTACACTTTTCCCTCAAATATAATAAATGATCTACATCTCAAATCCCCTATCTCCAAACCTATTAACTGTTAAAGCAAAAAAAAGCAAGCAAATACACAAAGAAGTAGTAGCAGCATCATTAGAAGGACAACAGCGTAGACAGAAACTTATTGCCAGCCGAAAGCCAAACCTGGTCGCAAAGAAGCAAGACCCTAACGGACAAGACATCACCCAAAAGGATTAAACAATCAGACCTTGAAGACAACAAGACCATGGCAACCAGCGCCAGTAACAACCGAAAGAAAAAGAGACAGCAAAATGACCCAGACATCCTAAATTGAAATTTAGACATGAAAGCTAAGAGCAATAGACAAAAGGAGAGGGAGAGAGAGAGAGAGAGAGAAACGAAGACTATGTGTGTATATGAAAAAACTAACCTCTATATTATCCATTGAAATTTCTAATACTAAAATAAAATATAAGACCCATTAATCACTTAATAATAAGAAGAGAAAGCAATGGTAATTCGTTAAATGACTACCAAAAGGAAAACAGAATATAAAGAAGAAGTGAAAGAGCTATCATTCACAGTCCTTTACTTTTGACCTATAAAAGAATTTTACCTTAACCTTTCCTTGTAATTACATCTTCTTTTCTTCAGCAAGGAAGAATAGAATAAAGTGATAAAGTAACCTCAAGTATTCTTTACCATTGGTAATTATTCTTTTACAATAATTAAATTTTTTTTCTCCATTTTCGTGAAATAAATATTAACTTAAGTCATTTGTAGAATGTCTTTTGTAACGCTTTAAAGTAAAGTTAATTACTATTCCTTTTTATTCAATCAGATTCTTTTCCTCTTCCCCGAGCAACTAGACTCTGTTTCAGCTTCTTTTTTCGGATATTACACTCTTCCCTTGCAGGGCTCTATCTATTTCTCTGATCTCCATCAACCCCATATTTGTCTGTTTCGAGAATTGAGATGGACATTAAACCTTTCCTTCATGAACACTACTTGCTGAATGATTGTTACGACAATGAAGAGGCGAGTTGTGACATATGCCATCAGCAAATTGATGGGTTGGCTTATAGTTGCGAAAGTTGCCCTAATTTCTGGTTGCATGCATCTTGTGCAGAAGAACAACTGCCTCCTCAGATTTCACACCCTCTCCACACCCAACACCTCCTTACTCTGCGGTACTATTATGTCAATTTCATTTGCCACATATGTTTCACTCTTTCTCGAGGCCACTGCTATCTTTGCGCTGATTGTGATTTCGAAGTTGATGTCTTATGCGCTGCTCGCACCAATGATGCGACACTGGAGAAATTAGAGAGGAAAAGATTTGATGAGATGGTTGGAAAAATGCCACATTTCGTCCACAAACATCCCTTGACGAGTATCTTCCACTATAGAAAAGTACGAAAGGAACACTACAATTGTGGTTGGTGTGAGAAGCATCTGTCAGGAGTGACTTACGGTTGTTCATCTTGTAGCTTCTGGATCCATGACTCATGCTTGGTTAAGATACCCATCAAAATCTTAGGACATCCTTTTCATTTGTCACACCCTCTTTACATTCAGCCAACGAAAAAGGTCAACAACTCCGACCCATGTTGCTATGCCTGTAAAGATCAAGTCGATGAGGTAGCCTATCATTGTCGAAAGTGTGAATTCAGCCTGCATGTTCTTTGTTCTAGACTCCAACCCAGCTTAAACCATGAGATCCACGAGCACAGTCTTACTTGTTTTCAAATAAAACTTCACGTTGTTACATACCGATGTAACATTTGTCGTAAGAAAATTTGGGCCAAACGCAAGGACAACATTTTTTATCGTTGCGTGCAATGTAATTTCAATTTTCATTTTGGATGTCTTGAGATTTCATCTGTTATTACACATAAATACCATAGACATGATCTTATACTCGTCAAGCGATTTGAAGAAGATGATTCTGCAGAATATTATTGTGATATATGCGAGGAACAAAGAAATGAAAATGATCCGATATATTGTTGTAAGGAATGCACATTTATTTTTCATATTCAATGCGCACTAAATAAGGTAATACAGACACATTTAATCTCTTTCAAGAGTAAATTTACTGTAGGATATAAATGTTTGCCTCAAGTTGTTTTTGCAGAAAAGTTTGATACATAGAAAATATTGACCGTGATTTGACCTTTGGCTAGGTGGGCAGCGAAGCTTTGATACCAAAACTGAGGGAGCAAGAGGAAACAGAGA